CAGAAGGAGTCTTGACCCCAAACATTGACCGGATCCGCCAATAAATTCGAATAAAACGCTTAAGGGCCAGAAACATGCACCAAGTCCTGACACCGGAAAACTCAATATGCATACTAAATATCTAGCACAAATAAGGCTCTTTCAATAAGACCACTATAGTCGATGAAAAAACTCGATCAACCAATATCAAGAAACCTAAAGCACTAAGGCCAGCAACAACACCGCATAGAAACAAATCTAACAGAGTAGACAAACAACCCAAACCGAAGAGTGGGGAGACCACCTTCGTTATTTCATAACAAGACGACAAACACTCTAAAAACATACAAATGTATAAAAATAATGAAAGCAACATCACCCTTATTTGAACAAAATAAAAACTAAGTGAAAAGGTCTTGAACCGCACAAAAGAGGATTCCAATTGTAAGATAGCTTCTTAATCCAAGAGGAGAAGATACAGCCGCACTACCGAAAAAGGGAAAAGCTCTAGAAGAACTTCCAAAAGGTCTTGAACCGCACAAAAGAGGATTCCAATTGTAAGATAGCTTCTTAATCCAAGAGCAGAAGATATAGCCGCACTACCAAAAAAGGGAAAAGCTCTAGGCGAACTTCCAAACCACCAACAAGAGGGAAGCAAACAACTTTGAGACCCATCGAACCACCCGTCTCACCAGAAGCACTACTATGCTGAGAGGGAAAAAGCCTCCAAAATGTTGGCCCAACTAAGTTTCGACGATCCCCCAAATGGCAGCTGAAAGCGTGACCTCCACCCCTCCAAGCGCGAACACAGATTCACCCTCAAAACCCATTTTCATTTGATCCTCCGTACGCCCAAAACCCATCTTGATCTACTACGGCTGGGAATTCAGTGACCCACCCAAAGGTGGCGCTGGACTCCGGCCCTCCCAAACGAAAGAGATGCAGTGCTCAAAGAAAGAGACGAAACCTTAAGTGAGGGAAAAAGTCGAGAGAGGAGAAAGGATTTTTTTTTAGGCTAACTAGTTGAAACCAGCATTCGATTCCCCTTTCCCCTGTTTAAATATAAAGATAAAGATAAAAAATTTAAAATTTCTTTAAAATTTTGATTGACTTAATATTCTTTTAAGAGTTTAGTTTACTAAAGAAAATAAAAATTCAAATAGAACATAATTAAAAAGAAAATAAATTTTTTAGTGAAGTAAATTAGAGAGTAAATTAGAGTAGTTTTATATATGAAACACATTTGAGAAAATATAATATCAATGGTGCATTAGAAAAAATATATTTTATGAGGGCTATATTTAGAAAAAACAATATTGAGTAGGCTCATATGTAAGAAAAACTATTTAAACAAAGATAAATTAGAGTAGTTTTATTTATGAGATAAATAATAGTTGAGAGTACCACAAAAAAAAAAAAAAAACACATATGTAAATATGGTGATAAGAAAAAGTGTTTCGAGAAACACATGAAAAAGAATTAAATTGCATAATAAACTTTAACAAAAAGGAAAAAATAGGATACATTTAAAATAAATTATCTTACTAAGTATAAAGCGAGAAAAGAAGTATTTAAAAAACACATCATAAATAAAATTAAACTGTATAGGAACTTAGAAAAAAAAATATAAGAAAAAGAAAAGATAAAAAAAAATATCAAGAAATGTTTAACAAAAAAACAAAATAAAAGAGTGATGTAGATGTGTCAAAGAGAAGGAGAAGCTCTTTATACATTTATAATAGCACATGTCAAAAGGAGGAAATAAGTTTTGACTTTTTTATGTATATATGTTAAAGATTAAAAATTAAAGATTTAATAATTTTTTTAAGCTAAAAACTATTCAATAGTTTAATTGAAGATGGTTATAAGCTAAACAAAAGTTTTCTCCTATATATTATTCATTTTGTATATTTTTTTCATGGTGAAAATTAAACATTAATTTACAAAAGAAAAGAACTAATACTTCTTTTCTAGATATTCTGAATTTTTTTCTGCGAAACCCAAACCAAAATATAAAAGGGAAATAGTAGGAAATAGGCCAATATGAAAAATTTAAGAAAGTATATATGTCAACTTTGAGTTATAGAAATTAATAGGCCATAACTTGTCAAGTTATAGTTCATAACCAGATAAGTTATGAACAAATTTGTCAAGTTATGGTTAATAGCCAGACAAGTTATGGATAAAAACCGGGAATAACTTGTCAAGTTATGGTTCATAACCAGACAAGTTATGGACGAAAGCAGTAATTTAACCTATTTATTAACTTATGTAAACTATTAACATATTAATTTTAATTCATTTTAAGTTTTGGCTTATTTTTCTCTTTCTCTCAATATAAAAAAGGTGTGAACATACACATGTAGTACATATTTAACCAAGCTATGCCACAAATACTCTCTCTTGCTGTTTCTTTTTTTTTTTTTTTTAAGGATGCTTTTTGCTACACACTTCTTTATTATTATTATTATTTTTCCATTCATTTCTAAATGCGGATTTTTATTCTCTCAAAGTTTTAGCTCTTGCAACGATGTGTTCTTAAATCATAAAACATAAATCTTTGCTTCGTTAGCTTCGCGGATTTGAGTTTTTAATTCGAGTTGAGATGTGACATTTTTTTAGAACTTTTAACTGTAGCAGAAAAAATTAGATGTGATATTTTCTTAGAATTTTTAACTGTAGCAGAAAAAATTAGATGTGACATTTTCTTAGAACTTTTAACTATAGAAACCTAAAATTGAAAATTTAAATCGATAAAATGAACGAGATTAATTCTCTAAAGACTTGAGAATTGAACTTATTTAATCTCCAAAAATTCTCTAAGAACATAATATTAAAAAATGTATTTTTTTTTTCATAATGTCATAATAGGATTACAAAATATTTTAGAGCCTTCCACTTGCGCTAAAACATTTGTGATATCCTTCACAACTCCTTCCTTTCAAGTTGATCTTCAAAACTTTTTTCGCGGAAAAATCTTAATAAAAGGTTCAACAAGAATGTTTTCCGCCGTGATGTTACTGACCGTCACATCCTCACATTGAACTATTACTTTAATTGGTTTTTTTTTATTTTCTCAATCGGCAAGACTGTGAACGTAGTCTGGATTACCGGAAGTAAGCTTCCTGGTTTTCTTTGACCAACGGGGCAACTACTCCTTATTGGGACGGACTATCCGGGTGGAATTATCAGGCATTAGAAGGGAGTATAAACCCTTTATTCGAATGCTTCACTGCGCAAAAAATAGTTCATCCTTGGAAAATATATAGTTTTCTCAAATTAACTAGTGTTTGGAAACCCAAACAAAAATTGTTGAAGTTACCTTAGAGTGTAGAATTTTGTGCAGAATTATTACTTATATCATTCCAAATAATTAGATTGAATGACAATTATTTATTTTTGAGTTGAGTGACATAAATAATATTTTTTACCATCTTAACTCCCCCGCAAAGAAAAATGTGTCTAAAACGCCATTTCATAGATTTCGGCTATAAAATTTTGGTGAAAATATTTTTTGTTATGATACTTTCTCTCACAAGAATTTAAATAAATTTAAATTTCTCTTCATTTTTTCTGGTTAAACTCAATACCAAACAGCTCGTTAATTTGACCAAGTCCAATCTAGCCCAAAAGTCCAAAAATATTTTTAGTGTAAAGGTGTGCATGAAAACTGTAAATTCAACTTCTAATAATACAATTCCATGCAGTGATGTTTATTAATTCTAGTTAGACTATTGGAGGTCCAGCACTTATACTTTTGATCTTTACATATTAGATTTGACCAAGAACTAATTATAGATCAACATTTGAATTAAAATTAATCCAGATAATCAAGATTTAGCAATGAAGACGTTTTCCACATTCATGGGAAGACTCTGGACATATTTAGGTTACCGGAAGTGACCTATCAAGTTTTTCTAGATTTACAAAGTATGTTACTAAAAGTAACTTGGTTGTTCAGAAAATTGGACCTAAGATTTGAGTTAGAAAAAGACCTTATGGACCTACAAAATTGAAGCACCAATAATAAAACCTAACTTTAATTAACTCCTTATCAATTATCAATTTCAAATTAGTACATTAAAAGTTCAAAGTTAAACTCTTGAATTATGTAGCTATTGTGAGAAGCTTATAAAAAAACATTAAGCTTAATCTATTGAGTTACCAATACCATTACCATAAGTGAACCCGTATAGGATATCTATATTTGAGTTAGGATGTGTATCATTACACCTCTCTAATTATTTCTCAAGTTTCTATTTCTACCTTGACTGATTTTCTTATGAGCTCATCATAAATAACTAAATTATTTAGTTTACATTTTACTAAATAACTCCTTGATGGAGTTATGGTGTCATCTAAGAAAGATGTTCGCACTACGTATAGAATTTTATCTCCAAGACAAGTTATTGACCATTGAATTGATCTCACGCATTGACAAGTAAAAGATATATTCTTATGATAGTGATAGTCACTTTAACACTACAAGAGAATGGACGGTTCGGACCCGTTTAGTTCGTTGATTCGAGTTTTTAATTCGAGTTGAGATGTGATTTTATGTGAGAGCTTTTTACTGTAGCAAAAAAGTTAGATGTGATTGTTTGTGAGAGCTTTTTACTGTAACAAAACTCGAATTCTAAACTCGAATCAGTGAAATGAACGGGACCTTAATAACTTTTAGTTATAGCGTTTTTGAAAAATTGCTATTAAAACTTATTTTATTTGAATTTCATAGTGTTTCAAAAAAATTATTTTCAGTATATATATATATTAAAAAATCATAAAATATTTTGACGGTATTGTTTTATATATTTATATATATATATTAGAATTTAATTTGATAAAAATGGCTTCCCCGTAAATCCAAATTCCCCAAATTTTTAGGTATTAAAAATTACTTACCCAAATTTTCAAATTCCCGCTCCCTCATTCTCCCTCTTTATTTTTTCTCTGCTTTTACTACTCTAATACCCATACAAACAAAAGCTTCCCCCACTTTCACTCATTTTTCACTCCTCCACGCTCATTTTCTTCATTTTTTCACTCCACGCTCCTTTTCTTCTTCATTTTTTTGTTCCACGCCAAAGTGAAGCTAGGGCTTCTTCTCTCTACCGCCGCTCCTTCTTTTCTCTCCACCGCTGCTCCTTCTCTTCACGGTGACCCTCGCTTTCTCTCAAATGTCACCCGCTGCTCCTCCTCCTTCTTCTTCTTTCCTTCAGATTCGGCCTTTGGGAAGTCAGATTTCTTGCAAGGCCGCAGCTCTGTTTCAGGTATTTCCCCTGTCCATTCTACTTTATGCCATCCATGGCTTTCCCGATCCCATTTACCAAATCCCAACTTGGATCCTCCAAATCGTCCCTTTTTCTTAATGGGCTCTCTTTACAATCATATGTTCTTCTTGGATTTTTCGTAAAGTCTCGTTCTTCGAGTATTTACACAAGAGCAGCCACGGAGAAAAGTCTCTATGACTTCACTGTAAAGGTATTTGTTTGGTGAAAAAGCTCGTTCCTTTGTACTCTATTGTTTAATTTAAATTTGTTGTTCTGAATCCAGGTAAAGGTGATTGTGTGGTTTCCCAGCCGTGTTCGGTTTACAGTCGTAGGCCATCTCTGCTCCCCATGTCTCCGTTCTCCTGTCGGCGGTTTCCTCCACTCCTTCGCGGCCTCCAAGATTGTCCGCTGCTTCAGGTGCTGTTTGATTTTTTTTTTTTAAATTGTGTGTAATTGGCTTAAGATTCAGAATTTTGGATTTGACTGATTTTGACTTTAGGGGAAATTGGATATAATTGTTGAGAATTCTGAAATGGATAATTTGGATGCGCTTAAAAAGTTAGCTCGTCTAGGAGTTATTGCATTTTACACGATTGTCTTGTGGAATTAATTATCTGTATGCTTAATTATGGGTAAGAACTACTGGTTTGGCCGTTTGGGATAATATTAGTAAGACAATATTGGGGTTTAAAAATTGTTGATTTCTTCGGCCAAAGATCATCAAAGAAGCATGAATTTCTTTGTTTTCTTAGTTTATGTCCTCTTTAAGTAACAAAGGAAGATAAAATTTTAAAGAAAAGACACAACTAACCGGAGAACTTTGCAGCAGAAAAGCAGGCCTAGCAAGTATGGCTAACATGGAGCAAATAAATGCAGTTTCTTTTTCTTTTCTATTATTGGTTAGATATCAATTTCTGTGAGAAATTTACAGTTTTACAAACAACAAATGACATGGGTGCCCATAAAAGAGTAAATCAAGGTCAATCTCAGAGAAGGAATTGGTAGGAGTTTTTGCCATTATTCGATACTAACTCAAAATTCGGCACTAGTTATGGCTATTATGTTTACTTGTTAACCCAAAAAAATGGCTTTTATGGCCTTTATTTATTTATTTATTTGTGTGTGTGTGTGTTTTTCCTAAGCTCCTTCCTTACCTAATATTCTTTTGCAAATCAATTTTGTTGATTAGATTTCAAGAGACTGAGGGTGACTGTACGGAGACCTTGAACATGGATGACCGTTACATCAAGGCATATTCTAGACGAGCAACAGCTAGAAAAGAACTTGGAAAACTTAAAGAAAGCATTGAAGGTTGATAAGCCCTTACTCAGGCAAGTGTTTGTTAGGAGGAATAAAAGAGTTTAGGAAGGGACAGCTGTCTTAAGTGGCTGTGGTAGTTTGGTGTTAGTAGTTTAGTGGAAATATTACTTTAGCTTACGGGGGGAGTTTGGGGAGTGAGGAGAGGAAATTGTATAAAAGGGGAAAGAGGAGGGAAAAGCGGTTATCGGGGATTAAACAGAAAGTGAACAAGTCTTGGAACAATTCCAAACAAGGGGAGGAAGCAGACCCTCAAAGTTCTGCCGATCTGTGTATAATCATTGTTTCAATAATATGTTTCGTTGATTCTTTCTCATTCTTTCAAATTGTGCAATTAGTTTCTTTAGTTCTTGACCGGATAAACCAGAGCTTATCAAAGGTATGTGACAGCTAAATTAGATTTTGGTTCCTGATCATATGATATAGAATGCCTTGCAGTTGGAGCCTAACAACCAAGAAATCAAGAAACAGTATTCTGAGGCCAAATCTTTGTGTGGGAAAGTGTTGCTTTTATTCTCATGACATGTCAATTTGAATTTTTAAGACAACAAGCTTTTGGGAGGGGTTGCATGACACTTTCATTTGGATAAGGTTGTGGGTGAGGAATCCAATCAATCATTTCGACCTCCTATAGATGATACTCAGGTTCTCCTTGCGTCTCTTCCTTGCTAAGATAGTTTGAGTAGGCTTTGCCACTCGCAAAATAATTGCACATTAGAATTAATCACCCGCTATATATCATATTGTAGCAGTTGTTTTCTGATTCCCAATCAAGTGACTCGAAAAATGAGGCACCAAGCAGTCCTTTGGAAGAGGTTTTTGTACCGTCAGAACTTGTAATGAACTTACTGCTTGACTCTGCACCTCCTGATGATGTGTAAGTTTCCATGTGTTTATGGTGAATTTCTGCCACCTTCCAACCAAAATGCATCCATTAACATGTTATCCACATGCTGTGTTTACCTTAGTTTCTTGTGATTCATGCGTGTGTGATAAAATTAAGGTTTTATGTTAGATTGTAGTGGTGTTTGTTTGGATATAGATAGAAATAATCACCATTCACCAGTGCGATCACATAACTTGATGAGAAAAAAAGCACAAATGTGTATTCTTTTATTTGTGAAATGTAGTGAAAAAGCACTTGTGCTTTATATGTTGCATACGACTGATATTTATTTGTTAAGGTTCTTTAGACTCTTATCTTTATCGTTTTTTAAGATCTCTCTGTACTACTCTTTACTCATGTACTTTTGGATTCTTTTTGTTAATTGGGTCCCTTGCTAAATCCTTTGTTGTGATAATGAATTTCTTGCTTTGATTAATGAAATTCTTTGCAGTTTTAACTTGTGAATGGCTAGTAGTATGTCTTCATGAAATAGAACTAGTTAAATGCTTCTTGTTTTTCATGCTTGTTTAATTGTTTCTTCTCTCTCTCTCTCTCTCTTTTAATTGTGTTAGAGAATGCTGTGAAGTGATATCCTATTGTATTTGAACATGGGATCGATTTATGGCTCTAAGATTCTCGACATGCTTGGCAAGTTTTCATAATATATGGAAACGTTTACTTCCTTGAACCAATAAAGAAAAGGGATTAGAGTAATTTTCTTATGTAACTAGCCCTTGCTTTATTTATAGGTTAAATGGTGGAAGTTTTAGTTGAGTTTGATTATTGTTTTGATAGTGGATCACTTTCTTATAGGTTAAACGGTGGAGATGACTTTTTTGTTGAAGCATTTTATCAAGATGGAAGGATTTACTTCACCATTTCACTTAGAAGTTTTGGATACTTTGATATCTCCAGTGATTCCTCTGTTTTCTTTACTTGTTTTGAATGTTAAGGTTTTGGACATTGTATGAATTATTTTGTAGATATAATTTTATTGCCAACTTGGTAGATACTGAGAACAATTGATAAGTTGAATGTTTTTATGTTTTAATTTGAATGTTTCTATTTAGATATAAGATGTTACTCGGAATTACTATCTATTTGAATGAATTCAAAAGGATATCAATAATAATTTTAAAAAGCTACAAGAGTATGAACATGACAAGGAAAAAAAGCTATTAATTTGTATTATAGTCATGTTAAATAGTTGTAAGAGGTTGAAAATAACTTGTCTTAAATGCTATAATACTTCAATTCTATAGCGTTTTCAATAACTCTCTTAGAACGTTATATTTTCTTAGGATTTTTAATAACGTCTGATGTCTTAACGTTTTACAAAACGCTATTACTAGTGACTAATAGTGTTTTTGATTAGCTACTAATGTTGATATTTTTTGTAGTTTGAGTTGAGATGTGATTTTGTGTGAGAGCTTTTTACTGTAGCAAAAAAGTTAGATGTGACTGTTTCTGAGAGCTTTTTACTGTAGCAAAACTCAAATTCTAAACTCGAATCAGCGAAGTGAACGGGGCAAGGTTTTCATTTTGACGGTTATTTGAAGTAGAATCTAACAACTATTTTCAGTTCAAATCTAATTTTTCAAATGGCAGTTAAAGATATATTTAGAACTAGATAGATCTCAGAAATATGATCTATACCCACTTACTATTTCAACCTTATGTGGCTGAAACCATATTTTCTTGTAGTGGCGCATTAAGGGCAAATACAAATTTATTTATTAATTAAATTTTATGGAATTACTAGATAAAGTAAAATTTTGGAAGTTTGTATAAGTTTGTATTTAGAAAATTTAGAAAGTTATTTTTGTAATGAAAATGACTAAATAATTTATTTTCTATTTTTTTAAGAATTCATTTTCTATTATTTATTAATTACATAATATTTTTTAAATTGTATAAAACATTATTAAGACAAGAAAAAAAAAGCCCTAAAAAAATTTACAAGGATTCATCCAAAAAAATTCAACAAACTATACTAAATACACGTGTTCACTAATTTTTTTTTTTTTTTTTTTTAAGGAATAATAACTTCAATAGAAGGCCGAAGACGACCTACCTCAAAGGAGCCTCACACCTAAGCAACAAGAAGTAAACATATAAAATTCCTACTATGTAAGCCTTTAATTTAAAAATGTTTATTATTATATAATATTATAAAAATATCTACTTGTACTTAATAAAGCATATATAATACTGGATGTACTCTTATAGTTTATTTTGAGTGTGTTCTCTATACGGTGAGTTTTTATATTTTGTGGGCTGATTTTTCTGATAATATATTATATGTTGACTTTTCTTTTCAGCCTCTATTATTATTTTGTAATCAACTATTTAATTTGGTATTGATATGGTGCTTTAAATTAGCAGATTTTCCCTCTCCCTTTTGTAATGGAGCATATGCATCGATGGTTTTGCATGGGTTATTTTGTTGTTTTCCGTATGTTTTCTTTCCTTTTTTTTCCCCCTCTTTCATCCCTCATCGTTTTCATTTTGTTCTTCATCAAAGTCCTTTTTCGGTTCGTGTTCTTTTGGTTTAGAGAATTATTAGGTTTGCAGTTCATTTGTTTTTATTTTCTGTGAACATTATTTTTATCGTCTGTTATCTTCATTGGTTTTTGCATGATTATTATGTTTTATCATGTGTTGTTTGAAACATTTATACCCTTCTGGTTTTGAAATTTTTTTAAATTTTTTTTTTTTTTTTTTTTTTTTTTTTTTTTTGCGAAATGATCATTATGTTTTTGTTTTGTTGGATTTGCCGTGCAAATTTATAACACGTTTTCTATATGTATATATATTGCCCCTTGTCTTCTGTGTTTCTTCATAGGGATTAACACGTCCTTAATGGTTTGCATTAGGAATTATCACATTTTTGACATTGAAGATCGTAAATAACATGACATTATCATAATGAAGGGTTAGACATTTAGATGATCAATCTCATAGTGATCTTTTTTATTTTATTCACTCTGTTATAAGGTACAAAGAAACGTATTCAGAAAGAAGTTTGGGAGAATTCTGTATATTATTTCATATTGCTACAGTAACTTGTTTATATATAAGTTACAACAGAAAGCTTACTTAACAGGATAGTAAACTAACAAATTAGCAAAGCTTACTCAGCAAGATAACTTGCTGTATAAGCTCTTCACTAAGCTTATTAACTCTAAGACTCCTTAACAGCCCCCCTCAAACTTAAAGTAGTAAGATTTTCTACTTTGAGTTTGCTCTGTATATGACTAAAAGCTGAGCTAGAGATGGCTTTAGTGAAGATGTCAGCTAATTGATCAACTACAGGCGCATGACGAACATCAACTTGTTTTCTCATGAATTTTTCTTGAACAAAGTACAAGTCCAATTCTATATGCTTGGTTCTTGCATGTAAGACATGATTTACTGCTAAATGAACTGTAATAAGATTGTCACACCAAATTACAGCTGTCTTTGATGCAGAAGAATTTAGCTCACTCAAGAGAGATTGCATCCAGGATATTTCTGCCACTACACTAGCTAGACTGCGATACTATGCTTCTGTAGATGAATGAGACACTGTGTGCTGCTTCTTTGATTGCCATGACACCAGATTTGGACCAAGGAAAATACAAAAGCCTGAGGTAGACCTTCTGTCATCAACATCTAACGCCCAATCAGCATCACATAAACCAACCAAGTCTAAGCTTGCTGTAGGACATTGTCTCAAATGAAGACCATAGTTAGTTGTGCCAGCAAGATATCTCAAAATCCTCTTTACTGCTTTCTAATGTACTTCCAATGGTGTCTGCATAAACTAGCAAACTTTGTTGACACTAAACGAGATTTTTGGTCTTGTAATTGTCACATACTGCAGAGCACCTACCACACTTCTGTACAACTGAACATTACTTATTGGATCACTACCAAAAGAAGTTAACTTTTGTCCTGTTGTCATAGGTGCAGAGACACTTTTGGCATATTGCATTTTTGTTTTACACAGCAAATCTGTTACATACTTTTCTAAGACAAATGAATACCTTGAGTAGTTTTGGTAGCTTGTATTCACAGATAGTAATCAATTTCTCCCATATCTTTGATAGCAAAAGCAGTATTAAGTTGATTTGACACCTGTTAGATAGTTAAGTCATTAGTCCCTGTGATCAATATATTATCCACATAAACAATGATGTATAGTGACCACTGTAGGGTGATCTGAATGAAAAGTGAGCTATCACACTTGGCTGAGTGAAAACCAAGCTTGAGCAATGCATGGTGAAGTTTATCAAACCAGGCTTGAGGAGCTTATTTTAAACCATAAAGGGACTTATGTAGCTTACACACCAAACTTGAATTCT